GGGGGAGGGGGTAGCATAGAACATGTTCCCTTGATCCCTTGAAAATTTCACTTTTTTTCCCCTGGCTCCCTATTTGTAAATAACATTGTTCCCTAAAATGTTCTGTCAAAGTTCCCTATAAGACAGAGAGATCCCTTGTCCCCTCAATTTAATCCCAAAAATATCCCTTGTTGATCATGTCCCCTTGTTGTCCAAAACCCCTGGGAGATTATAAACCACATTTTTCATTTCTGACCTTAAGATTTTCCAGGGCTTAAAAGCACTTTAACACATGTCCGTAAGCGATAATTACTGAACAAGAGGCTAAGAACGAAATGGAAAATATCATTTTCACTTTTTCAGCCTGAAGCATCGGGAAAGCAAGCCAAATACGGAGTATGTGATGTTGAGTATGTGTCATTGTCGATATTTTCCGTTATTTTACACATGTAGCTGTACTCATCTTGTGTATTTTTCAATTATGTTTATCCGCCTTGACAACGGCAATTGCTTTGAGAAAAATCCCAAACGAAGACAAGGACGAAATTTTTTCCATATAAAACTTGTTTTGATATAAAAAGCAAAGAAGGGCGAAATTTTCCATAGAAATTTGTTTTCAAATCAAAATATAATACAATAGAAATAAATGAATTTGCTTCTTCTTTATAAAAGAAGAGATTTATGTGTTGAAATAAGAGATTCTCTCTCATTTGATTTATCTGCACAGGAAATATACCGCTTCGTAAAAATTTAAATGTTGCGTGATTGATTCTAAAAGTCAGGATTTTTATTTGTTTTGAAATAGGTTTTGACGCGCGCTCGGTTAGGAGGACAGTATGAGAATATCTTGGAGCAACAATTCAAAAAGAGCGCGCAAAATAAAAGTATTCTGCGAAGAAAATAACCGTACTTCAATTTGATAAACATTTTCAATAAGAGCTGCGCACCAACATAAACCACATCAAATTCGTTTTATAACAGGTTGTTCCTGCTAATCCCACGTTCGCTAGGAATGAAAATAAAAAAAAACTTAACCACACACAGTGAATCATCACCGTTATCATCATGAGTGTTGAATGATCCCGAGATTAGTAACTTTCTCCTACCTACCTTGGATGTTCGAGAAGTAAGGTTTTCTAGAGATATCCCCTAAACTCAAATGATCCCAAGTTGTATAAAATAAATATGCGACACGTGTTACAGTAGCATTAGTTTGTAAAGATTTGAAAATTTTCTTCGTGTGAAATTAATTGATCCTGCATGGCTTTCATTGGCTGTAACGCGTGACGTGTGACATATGACGTAATGGTTTGGAATCTGCTGAAAATGCGGTCTCTCTATTACTAACAACAACAACAACAACACAACAACAAAACTTTATTCCTTTTTCATTAATTTACAGCCATGAATTAGAGCCGGATGATTGGCTGAAATGATAACTTCTGATCGACGTGCGATTTGTGAAAAACCAATCACTTGAGAGGCTTCATCATTTATCTTTTTTTTAGGCGATCCGTGATTATTCTCCTCATTTTCAATTTCTGGCGTCGAGATTCTTCGGGATATGAAGACCCTTGTCATATTACAAATTGCAAGTTGCCATTTGATTTTTAATGGAAACTGATATAAAACAGTAAGACTGTGAATAAAAACTGTAATTACAGACCATGCAATGGGCCTATATTTTCATATAATCAAAAAAACCAGCTCCATTGATCAAGTTCAAGCTCCCATATTTTCATGGGTTTGCAACGACGGATTCCTATAAACTTCGCATATTTACTAAATTCGTCATAATCGAGCCCCGAGGCTTGTTTTTGGTTTGCCAGAATGGAAAGTCGAAAAAAAGGGACTTAGGTAAAAAGGTCTATAAAAGTCACATTTCCAGAAGCAATTACTGAGCAAGGGCGTTAAGGTCTTACCAGAGTAATACCGTGAATATTTTTACTGTTGATATGGTAAACCACAATTTTGATATAACAATGCATTTTAATGAAACGTTTATGGCGTAATCATTACACATTGTAATGTAATTTTGAAAATTTTAAGTTATAGCACCAATCCATTGCCTCTCGAGTTTAGACTGAATAGATAGATAATATGAAATATTAATCTGTTTTATTTTGTCAAGTGGAGGTTGTGAATCAAAACAAGGCCTTGAGTTTACGAAATAACCTGTATCCTGCAAACTCAAATTTCAAAGGAAAAGCACTGGGAACTAGGTCGTCCCTGCAACGTCATCAACAAGAAACTCATTAAATGTAATCTCGTCCCAAGAGCCTGCGCGTTTCCGGTCAGCGGTGACCGAACGCTCGACGCTTGGGGCGAAATCGGGCGAAATCAAAAAAGCGGAAGGTTTGATTGTGCGATGCGTCCAAGCTAAGTTCGATAACTGTTTCGAAACATGCGCAGATCGAGAGAGAAGGCTTAATGAGTAATGCTGGCTCGCCTTCCGATTTCTTGATGCCAACTGACTGAATGTCAAGCATTTTAAATTTTTCTCTGTATATGATAGACCAAAATAATAGGCCATATTTTGGTAACATTTCATTTCAATTAAAACGATTTGTAGCGTGTCTCTTTGTCTGTGAGCAAAAATAAGTAAAAATAAAACTTACATACACACAACTATCGTCACAGTAACATGTATGACATGGCGCACAGAGCACCGAACTCATCGTACGTGTCTCTGCGATACAAAATTGATGTTGTGATTCCGGCAGGATAATATTTGCTTGTTACCAGCTGCTTTGTGTGTGGGTCAAGACCGTTTAAGTAGCCTTTCCAAGTAGGTCGACAGAACACCTCTCTTTAGTAAGTAATCGGGCGCTAAAACTGCAAATACTTGATCTTGATTGGCTAATTCCCTGGCAATTTTACAGGCACGTGATATATAACACCACATCCCAAGCGAGCGCCCGCGTTGCCAGTTTTCAAGGTCTCGGGTCCAGGACCTCGACCCAGGTCGTCAATTTTCTCATGAATCTGGAAATAAATGGAATGAAAATCCGTGTGACTTTGTAACTTTGACAATGCCACGCGCAGTGACCGACAGTTTATTTTATCGAAACTATCTATATCGACTTGCAGAGCTGTTAGTGCTCCTCTTGCGAAAATCTCTCGCTCTGTTATCGACAGTTAACAATGCGCAGAGAACTAGGGACGGAGTATTTGTATAATAAGTCAAATTATTCTCGCGTTTTGATTGGTCCTTTCTTATCATCTATTCAAGGACAAACGCAAAGATGACCTCATTAACACTCTTTTTTGTTTCTTTATTATATAAAACAGGTAGATTCCGCATGTTGCCGTGTGTCTGTTCAGGAACAGGTCACAGTACAGAAGACGTCAAAATGTGGTAAAAACATGAGTGACACACTCGGCTATCGCCTCGTGTGCCACTGTTCTTACCACATTTGGACGTCTTCTGGGATCTATTACTGAACAGACGCACGGCAACATAGAATCTAGCTGTTAAAAAGAATCGCATCAATGAAGTTAAATGGATGGACGGGTATATTTCATATCTGATAACACTATTTATCCCATCTTACCACGAACGCTCGTCCAATCACTGAAAAAGGTCCAACCAGAGAAACAAGAGGATCTTCTAACGTCATGATGACAACTCCCTCACGGTTTGATATCAGGTTTCCTAAGTCTCCAACATGACTGCAAAAAATAAATATTTTTTCCTTACTGAACGCCACAAATTTCTCAGGTTAATGTCTACTGAGTTAAATGAATTGATGCACATTAGAGGCGAGAAAAAATAGTGAGATAGCTGCCTCACCGTACTTTGTCCAGAGGTCCACCATGGGCCATATGAAGCGGATTGTAATGGTCTCCAGTACTCTGACACCCTGAAAGATAATCACGGCATTTAATGACGCGACTGAGATCTGAGACACGAGAAACTTAAACCCGGGCCGGGTTAGAAAAAGATTAACGCACGTTATTCTTTCCCCTCCCTCCCCTCCCAACGGCATCAGGGTTGAACCATCGACAAATTAAAAAATTCGAGGGAATATAAAGGGCCTTAGTCAATCACACCTTTGTTGAATAACTCATTTCTTATTATATTTGTACGTAATTATTTTTAGGCATCTATTGTATATTGGACGATCATGTAAAGACTTTCTTTGTCAAATGCGAAGAGGTCAAGTAAATCTCTCATTATTATTGGTAAGCTGAATTGCAAAAATGCCAGCAAAATGCCAGTTGCTCTTTTTTGTCTTTATTTCGTAGAGTTAAGACCCCACATCCACAAATCTGAAGTAATAGGTACCCAATGGGTACTTGTGTCTGCATGCACTGTAAACTTTGTAGACACAAAAATAG